ATAAATGCATTGTGCTGAGGGCGGGGCCAGGGAGGGAGGGACAGTTGAACGCTGAGACCTCAGAGGTGAGTGCTTTTGGGAAAAGTTTTATGTATTTTTTAACTATATTTTATTGAATTTTTACAGAGAGGAAGGGAGAGGGATAGAGAGTTAGAAACATCGATGAGAGAGGAACATCGATCAGCTGCCTCCTGCACATCTCCTACTGGGGATGTGCCCGCAACCCAGGTACATGCCCTTGCTGCCGCCGCCGCCGGGCAGGTGAGCGCCATGTCCGCAGGAGGAAGGATTTTCCCATGATGCGCCGCGCGGCGGCTGGGAGGATGCTCCAGAGGCTCCGCCCAGCGCGCACAGCCCCGCCCAGGTGAGCCCCTCCTCCTATTAGGGGGCGTGAGGGCGGGGGCAGGCTGGAAGCGGTCCATGGGGAAAGAAGGGACATATGTAATACTTTTTTTCTCCATATATTTTATTTTTTACAGAGAGGAAGGGAGAGGGATAGAGAGTTAGAAACATTGATGAGAGAGAAACATCAATTAGCTGCCACCTGCACGCCCCCTACTGGGATGTGCCCGCAACCAAGGTACATGCCCTTGGCCTGAATCGAACCTGGGACCGTTCAGTCCGCAGGCCTATGCTCTATCCACTGAACCAAACCGGTTACGGCTGTAATATTTTTAACAAGGAAGATTTAAAATAAGTAATTAAATAAATAAATAAAAATCTATCTCTGGCCCTAGTCGGCTCCACTGAGCCAAACCGGTTAGGGCTGTAATACTTTTAACAAGGAAGATTTAAAATAAGTAAGTAAATAAATAAATAAAAATCTATCTCTGGCTCTAGTCGGCTTGGCTCAGTGGATAGAGCGACAACCTGCGGACTGAAAGGTCGTGGGTTCGATTCTGGTCAAGGGCATATGCCTGGGTTGTGGGCTCCATCCCCAGTAGGGGGCGTGCAGGAGGCAGCCAATCAATGATTCTCTCTCATCATTGATGTTTCTAACGCTCCCTCTCCCGCTCCCTTCCTCTCTGAAATCAATTTTAAAAAAAACCAAAAAGAGATGTTTTTTAAAGCAGAGTGATCTTTACTCAATTCTAACACTGGGTGGCACCAGAACACTGCTCCTCATACAGTAAAAGGCAGAACCTTTGCTGGTCTTACAAAGCAGGGAAAGACTTTGCACAAAGGGTGGATTCAGAACTCCAGAAAGCTCACCCCAAATGACAGCGCCACTGTTCCCAGATGACACTGCTCATGTCTCGTGAAGGTCAGCGTGTATTGTGGGTCTGTGTGTTTTGTCGGCGACTGTTACTTATTTTTTAAATTATTTTTTCTAAACCTTCTTTACAAATGAGTGTCCCTGGAGAACAGATTAGAAATAATGGAACCCGAGGTAGATTCTAAATTATAACTAAAGAACTTCTCAGAAATAGAGGAGGACTTCACCTCAACATTAAAAGAGTACCTCATGTCCCCACCCCCAAAATAAGAAACAAAAATGTACCTTCAAATAGATCCTCGGGCAAGTGCATCTGCAGTCACGGAGTAAGGGCCTTGGTAAACTCACTTGCCCACAAAAACAGAAAATACAGGCAAAGCAACCGAAGTCAATCACTTCAGAATCCTGGAAATTAACCAAAGCCAAGGGCTGAACTATAAATCCTGATTACGGTACAACACACTGTGGGGACAACGTAACTATTAAAAACAGCGAGGCCCGGCCGGTGTGGCTCAGTGGTTGAGCATCATCCTATGGACCAGGGGGTCATGGTTTGATTCCGGTCAAGGGTTGTGGGCTCGATCCCCAGTGAGGGGCACGCAAGAGGCAACCGATCCATGATTCTCTCTCACCATTTATTCTCTCTCCCTCTCCTTTCCTCTCTAAAATCAATAAGAATATATTTTTAAAACACACACAAACACAAAATATTGGTTGAAACAAGACCACAGGGATACAGAAAAGGTCCGTGGTGTAAGTTTGACTTTCGCTGTGTGTCCCAGTCTAGGTTAGGGACTTTACATCTGCCACATAGAGCTGGTGTGCAGGAAACCATGGTTTTCATGGCGATTAAACAGCATTACCGAGTAAATCCGTTCAGAGGAGAAGTCAATGGGGACCCATGAGTCCACGAATTGGACAGTGTGGTCAGGAACATCAGGTTAGTGTATGTTTTCTCATGTGACTAGCAAGCTGCTGGCACGTAATAAAAAGTAAACATGGCTCGCTTATTCACTATCATCTCAGGAGGGCGACCTGCTCTATTGTTTAATCATCTCTCTCTTGTGTCCGCTGTTTAATATGTCTGGCAGGGTCTGAAGAATTAGTGATCGGATTTGAAAAGAGTCCGGTCAATGACAGGATAAAACCGAATGGAACAGGACAAAAATGTGCAAAAATGGCAACCCAACGTGGAAGAGCGACCTTCCTATCTCGGGTCCAAGGTCACGGCTCTGTGGCTCTGCTTCAGGAGGCCTATCTTCAAGGGTGTAAACAGGACCTTGGCTTTCTGGGAGCGCTCAGATATTTACATTGTTATATTATTCCCTGAAGCGGCTCATTGTCCCCGCGAGCAGCCCTGGCCGTCATCTGTAACGGGAAACATGGGCGGGCAAAACTCCAGTCTCGTCCGCTGATTAAAGTTACAGAAATTCTGAAATTCACGATTATGCTGTCCACGCTGAACGCCAGCTGGAACCCTGAAGATAAACAGCAACCAGACACACAGACTGAATTCAAAGCTGCCACACGTACCATCCGTGCCGCAAAGTGTTAACTTACTGTTGCTGTGTCATTAATCGCCGTTATTCTTCACTTCACCCACATGTTTATTTTTTAAAATATATTTTTATTGATCTCAGAGAGGGAGGGAGGGAGGGGGGAGAGGGGGAGAAACATCAATGATGAGAGAAAATCATTGATTGGCTGCCTCCTTTGCACCCCCTATTGGGGATCGAGCCCGCAACCCTGGCATGTGCCCTTGACCGGAATTGAACCTGGAACCCTTCAGTCCACAGCCTGACGCTTTATCCATTGAGCCAAGCTGGCTAGGGCCATTCCTTATTATTTTTTTTTAATGCTATGCACACTTTTTTAAAAAAAATGTTTTTATTGATTTTTTAATTACCTGCTAAGCACCTTCCCAAGCCTTGACATGTATTAATTCAGTCTTCCCAACTGCCCTATGAGGTTCACACTATGTACTATTGTTCCCATTTTACAGATGAGGAGACTGAGCCACAGAGAAGTAACCTAACTTGCTCAAGGTCACACAGCTACTAACTGGTATAATTGAAAAGCTCCAAAGAAACTGGAAAGGTAATCCATTTCTCTTTCTGTGACTCACTGTTAGTGGGAGTAAAGAGCCCACACGTCAGGGAACTCTGGCCTACTACCGACTCATTTCTTCCGAGTTTTTGTCGTTATTTCTCTTCTATCTTTCCAGCCTCATCTGGCACAGGAGTCTCTGGACCTCCAGCAGTTCCCTGAGCCACCACGCAGCCTGGAATGCCCCCTTCTCTGGGAGTCCCCGTCACACCCAGCTCCAGTGACGCGCGCAGCACCCCCTAGCGACCGGAGGCATAATAAATGGCTCCTTCCCTTTCAGTCCAGGACACTTGGCTGATTCTTCTGCCCTGGAACTTTATTCTCTCTCTTTTTAAAAAAAAATAAAATTAAATTTGTATTGATTTCAGAGAGGAAGGGAGAGAGAGAAAGAGAAACATCCATGATGAGAGAGAATCATGGATCACTGCCTCCTGCACGCCCCGCATGGGGGATGGAGCCAGCAACCGGGGTGCCCGACTAGGAATTGAACCGTGACCTCCTAGTTCATAGGTCGATGCTCAACCACTGAGCCACACTGGCCGGTCATATGCATAAACAGTAAAGACAAACCGGGGAATAACGACCTCTGCTCTGTAAAGCGCGCTGCTCGGGGATCTAGTCAGTATGGCTACCTGGTGGCTCCAATGCGCGCGCCGGGCACACCGGGCTGGGACCCGCTCAGGTTTGCCCAGCAGCCCGCACTGGGAAGGCTGTGCCCCCCGCCCTCCAGGGACGCCCTCCCGCCACGGCTCTTTAGGGACGAGGGGACTCCCAGAGCCTCGCCGTGGGCTTCATTTAAACTTTCCCGCAACATTCCGGTGCCATGGGCGGGCTCCGCCTCCTGGCCACGTGGGCG